TCTTTCCCTCCCCCAGCCTGCAAGTGCAGAATCATGACTTCATCTAACCTAACCAGTCCTGCTTGGGCTGTCCCAGGGACACTACACTCTATGCCCTTCTCAGAGTGCCCTACATCACAGAGCTATATCAGGAACCTTCTTTAGGCCCTTGTAGCAAAGAAGTTCGAGGCAGGGACTGGGAAACTGTAACAGCTGCCTCTCCAGGCTACAGTGCAGATCAAGGGCCTGGAAGCAGGAGGGTGAGCACAGGATGTCCTAAAGCCTGACTTGCTTGAGAACTTCCAGGCTGTTGCCTTGAAACCAGGGATGCCAGACAGTTCAACTGTTCAATACTGAGCCCACCTGAGACCTTCTGCCAGGAAGATGATCTTTCTCTCCAGCACTGCAGAGGCAAAGATCTGAAGAATCTGTTCACAACGGAGACAGTGCAACAGAGAAGTAAAATCCACGTGTTCTAGATGGGAATCCAGGGGCCGTGTCAGTGAAATGAACTGTGGAGAAAACAGAAAAAGGCTGTCACCATGCTGCAAGATCACACAGACCCCAGGATTCTGGGTCTCCACTGGCTCCTATCCCATTCTCCCATAGGGTAAATGTGATCTCTCTCTCTCTCTCTCTCTCTCTCTCTCTCTCTCCTGCCCCTCTGCTAAATGTCCAGGGATGGCCATCTTCTGCTCAGAGGGTGCAGTGGTCCCCAAGGTCCCGCCTCCATGAGCCTCCTTGAGCACAGTCCCCTCTGGCTATGCTTTGTCACAGCAACTCCCGTTCCTTGAGCACATCACATCTTTCCCGCTTACTGCCCTTCACAGGTTGGGCCTCCCCATCCTGGCTCTCCACCCATCATTCTTATCCCCTCTGGAGCCTCAGAGGTCCTTCTTGGCCACCCAATACTTCCCCATGTTCTTCTCATGCAGCACCCTGGTTTTCTCTTTCATTGCAATTTCCCAGTTTTTAAAAATAGACATACTGATATGTTTACTTATTTCATGTCTGTCTTCCCCACTACACTGGCAGCTCCATGAGGCCAGAGACCACCACGTTCACTTTATTCAACACTGTGTACCCAGAAAATAGTATAGTTTGGCACACCATGGCATTTGGTGCTTTTTTCAGTAAATGAAAAGTCTCAGACCCTCCCCTTATTTTTCTGTGGGGACACCGAGGTCCAGAGGGACACACAGACTCTCTAAAGTTCCAGAGGTCAGGCCTGGAATTCTTAGAACAATATTGGACTTGCTGCCTCAGCTTTTTAGTGTCTTAAAACAATAGCATCCTGATGGGGCAGGGGCGGGGATTCAGGGGCCGAGATGGATGATAAGAAATAGACAGGTGGGGGCTGTAAGGTAGAGATAGAGGGCGGGCGCAGGAGAACAAGGAGAGGGGCAAGGGCCAGTTTGGGGCTTGGAGCAAGGTCCCTTCTAGCCCCAGAAGCCTCAATTTCCATGGCTTATTTTTTTTTAAGTGAATGTCTTATAAGTTTGAATAGTAATTAGGTGCTTATGGACTTCAAGTTAGAAGGATTAGAAAATATAGGTTGGATTTCAGCTTTGCCAGTAATTCTAACCAACTCCCAGTCCCCACCTGGCTCAATTTCTCTGCACTTTAACCTAGTAAATGGACAAACCGTGACTGTCACACAGCCACCCTGCTCAGTCAGAGAAGGTCTCTCTCACCCCTTTCGCTCACCCACCTCAGTGCCTGAGTCCGGGATGAAGCTCTTGAGGGTGACAGTCTTCCCAGGAGCAGGGAAGGCTGCCTCCCGGAGGCCCTGCATGAACGGGTAGATGACAGCTATAGCGATCTGATGCCTCTTCTCCACTTCATCCAGGATCTGCAAGGAGAAGGAGTGTGGGAGGCACAGCTCAAAGAGAGCCTAGTGGGTGGGTGGCAAAAACACCATGTGCCCTGAGCATCATAAGGCTCTCACTCTGGTACAACTAATCCTCACATGCCTTCTGGACCCTCCACCATCTCTTCTGTCTCCTGTCCTGGCAGAGACAGCTCTCACCTTAAATAACCTGCTGTTTACCTCCTGCACAAGACCTGCTTTATCCCACTGCCCTCGTTTCATTCTCTCTACCAATCCATAGTCCTCCTCCTAGTGCCAACATAAACCACCTTCCTCAGGAAGCCTTCCCACAGTAACCCCACCAGGTGGTACCACGGCCATTTGCACTGAATGGGTTGGAGCAAGAGCCCAGAAGCCCCAGCTTCTTGGGTTCCACTCTGTCCTCCAACTTCCACTGGAGACTCTCCAGAGTCAGGGACTGCCTGCCCCCAACCCTCAGAACACCACGCAGGGCAACACATCCCCCAACGAAGCCTGGTAGTATTTCTTCTCTTCCTCCCCCACAGGTCCTGCCAGGGCAGAGCACAGTGAGGCCCTTTCTGGTCACCAGGACATGCCTCGTTCACTCTGGGGGGTCCTGCTTGGGTCCTGAGTCAGTGTACTGGCACTCGAGCTGCTCCTGTAGGAGAAGTCCTGGGAGCCTCAACCTCTCTTCTACCATTGAGGAGCCAGGGGAGCTTTGGGACCTCTACACGATGACAATTGTCTTCATGTTTGTTTACGAAGTAACTTCTCATACATCACCTCACCATCATTCCCACCAACCATGAATAGAAGGTGAGGGGCCATTATATACATTTGACAGTTACAGAAATTGAAACTCAGGGCAGAAAACTCCTGAGGCTCTTACCCTCATCCTGTGTCAACTAGATTCATACTTTATAGTTTCCTAGGTTCGATTTCCGCTTGCCCCGAAAATCAAGTCAAACCAAGCCACTCTTTATTTACCTCAGTCTTCCCAGTGTACCTGGATGCTGACCCCTGCTGTGGGGAGGAGCTCTACTAAGGGCTCTGTCTGCACAGGCAGGGTGCAGGTCAGCAGAGCACGGAGGCTGAACAGGCCCGACAGGCCTCAGGAATCCCGTTCCACCTTACCTTGGAGAACAAGCCGAAGCAGCCGATGCAGCTGATGATGCAGTACACCTTGGGAAGGCGAGGGCCCGGGCCGGCGGGCTGGAGAGTGACAGAGAGGTTCCTTCAGTGTGGCAGCCTCCCCAGGGGCTTCCCCAAGCTGGGGCTGGCCGGGTACAGGGCTGGGGGTGGGAGCTTATGGTGAATGGTGGACCAGGTAGAAAAAGGCCTGGCTCTGCAGAGGCTCCATTTATGGGACAGGCAGCAAGTAGGTCAGTGTGGCCCCAAAGTCAAACGACAATGGCCTTGAGGGGGCCAGGTGGACACACGGACAAGCGCTGCCACCTTCAGTTGCCAGCATGATCTGGGGTCAGCAAAAGAAGGAGCAAGAGTATCTTTGAGATGAGGAATAGAAAGGGCGGGGGAGGCACCTTAGAGGCGTCTTCCAGAACCCTCCAGAATCCCAGTAATTGACCCTAGTTGTCCAGATTCCAGCCTCTATACTGGAAGGCTCCAGGGGCCAAAATGTGCAGGCCTGGACAGAGGCGGCAGGGAGGGAAGCCATTTGGGACCTCTCACAAAGAGGGGAACTGTTGAAAGCTGGGGAGAAAACAACCCAAAGCATGCCAGAAAAAGTCCCCCAGGCAGGTGAGGAGGGGCATTGAGTTCTTGTTCTTATAGGGTTGCAGAGGGGGCACTAACATGGCAGCAGGTGCTGGGCTGTGCTCTCTACAACCACCACTGCCAGAGTCTGGGGTTTTGCAGCTGAGCTTGAGAGAGCCCAGCTGTGGAGCTGAACAGGCTGCAAAAAGGAGGGGGCTGTCCTGATTTGCACAGACCAAGAGGCGCCTGCAGTAGCCAATCTTCCTGCTCCCATCCACATTGGTTAGAACGAAGGAGAAGGTCTCCCTAAGAAAGAGCAGATGAGGCTTGGTTTGCATTTGCTCACTAGATTCTAAAACAGGAATGTGGTCAGTGTCGGAAGGGTGGAGATGAAAGCAAAGGGGAGCTACTGATTAATCATGGTAATAATAACTCCAGTAATTTATTACGTGTTCATTGGTGTCATGCCCCAAATGCATTATCATTTAATTCCCAAAACAACCCTTTGGGATTATCATCAATTATCATCTCCACTTGAAAGATAAGCAAGTGAAGCTCTGAGAAGGTGTTTCTTTTCCAGGGTCACTCATCTCATAAGCAGTGGAGCCAAACTTCAAACTCAGGCAGTCAAATTCCAGGGCTTATATTCTATGGGCCTTTGCCATGTAGCCTTCTTAGAAACCAAGGGCCTTCGGCTGAGTCCAGCCTCTGCCAGTGACTCTAGCAGAGTCAGAAAATAGTAACTATTACACCTGGGACAGGTGAAAGAACCTCACCCTTCTTTGGACAGAGGTGACTGATCAGATAAATGATTCAGATTCTTGGCCTTGATGAATCAACTCCATTCCCCGGCAGGAAATCAGCATACACACTGGTGAGTGGGCACAGGGGCTGCATGGATCATACGGTGGCTTCTTCCCCAGTATAATACCCCTGTCACAGGGTTGAGCAATTACCTGGGATACTCAGTGAGTGGTGCCCACTCGTTCCCATCTGGGAAGCAGAACAAGGGGATGGCATTGAGCAGCCGCTATTCCTACTCCTGTTGCCCCCGAA